CCCCGCATTCCCCCCTCCCCCGCCCCCGCGCGCCTCCCCCACCACACACACACCCACCACCATCAACTGGAAAGAAGTCAGAGACCTTGAGCATTCATAAGGGAGTTGGCAAGTTTAGCGGAGGGAGGAAAGGGGCGTTGACTTGGGCTAGGTAAACCCTCTTATAGTCAAGAACACTAGGGCTTCAAGAGAGGGTTGAGAAAACACAAGTACCCTTGTGTGGCCTTCTCAAGAAATGAAGATTTCTGATCTGCTCCAGTCATGTTTCAGCCTTCCCCAGACTGTGTCAGATTCCAGAACCTTGCATCCATACCTTGATATGTTTAACTGCCTCACAACCTTATGAAATGATAGATCCCTACTCCTATGGAGAATTTATCTCATGATACTCTTTTTTTTTTTCTTTTCAAATCATGCAATAAGCGGCAATAACTGTATCCACAACCCTGCTATTGGAAGAGGAACCTATGGAATGTCTTACCTGAGTCCTGGAGCCTTCTGTACTTCATTTTGATCTACAGAATTCCTTTGAGAACCTTTACTACTATTACTTGTTCATAAATAGTGTACCTTTAGATGGAAGAATTCCCCTATGGCAGAACACATGTACATGCATGTCAGCAAGAGAGCAAACATGGCCTACAAATTCTACGTGACTATGAGATGTTTGAAGGGAGAAAAGTTCCTCATCTCTGTTAGAACCCACAACCAAAATAGACGAGAAGTTAAGGGGTTCTGTGATGTGCTCCTACCTTTAGATTGGTAGCCGAATAAAAATAAAGCTCATGTGAAAAGAAGGGTATGTGGAAAATAACGAAAATGATCTGAGAGATCACTGTGCCAAGCCAGAATCCTTACCCATTAATAATCCTTGACCATGTAAAGGTCACAGCTCTTCTGCCACTCAAAGACTCCATTATACAATACCAGTGCTAAGTCCCTTGCCTTTGGAAAGAAAAAATGGGGGAAATGTGGTTGGACTTTAGCTGAGTTAATCTCTGACCCTCCCAGGACAGTTGCTTGGGGCTATTAGATATCTTCAAAGCATATCACATGTCTCTATGAAGCCACTCATTGTAACATAGGCAAGCTGGTTACTCTCTCAAGTCAACATTAGCTGTGAAGCTTTACAAATATCACTGAGGTTAACTGAGAATCATGTGTAACCTGCCTAAACATAGTCTAGGAAAAATCTAAATAGTGCACTGAGCCATGACCTCAGTAGCCTTTTCACCATTTTAGACTGATTTAAAACAAACAAACAAACAAAAAAAACAGCTTTTAGTAATTGTATGTCTGTTCTCAGGGTGGTCTACAGTATTTCCTTGCCAAAAGCCACAGCCTTTACAGTCACTGAAAGTTATTTTATTTTGTTTTAACCTGGGTCAAAAAAAAAAAGAAAGAAAAGAAAAAAAGAAAATCCTGCTGGGTAGTGGTGGTGCACACTTTTAATCCCAGCACTCAGAAGGGCAGAGGCAAGCAGATCTCTGTGAGTTTGACACCAGACTGGTCTACAGAATAAGTTCCAGGGACAGCAAGGGCTACACACAGTGAAACCCTGTCTTGAAAAAAAAATCTCAATAGTGACCAAGGCACATATTTTATGCAATTACTACCCTAAGTTGTTATCCCTTACTCAATTGCAATTCTGAATAATATATAATCTTTCCTGAAAACTACATTGCCTTTGCAACTCTTTTTGATGAGCTGAAAGGACCAAGAACATCCTCATATTTAAATTAGCAAAACTTTAAGATTTCTTAACCAAAGGTGCAAAGGAAGTGATTCCATAAATCTGTATGGCTGAGTACTCCATTACCCTAGGGATACTTAGGTTATTTCCTATGAATCATTTACTGGAAGGCCCATGAATTAGAGATTTCACTTCTAGTAATAGAATCTACCCCGCCACACGTACATAAAATGAAATATTGTCATGTTCAATACCTAGTCCTAGTATCCCCACAACACCTTCCTATGTAAGTTCTTAATTGTGTTCCTCAACAAAAAAAGTCCATCTCTTGGTAAAAACAGGAGAGACTGTTCTCGGGCCTCACTGGAAGGAATCTTACTTATTATAATTAACATGAAATGCAACAGTGAAATTCCAGAGAGTCGGTCTTTCACAACCAGAAAAGCAATGGGAAGCAGTCACTACACAAGTCAGCAGAAAGTTTCATCAAAACATTAAAAATAGAGGCTGGGCCAAGGAGCACATGTCTTTGATTCCCAGCACTTGAAGGCAGAGAGAGGCAAATCTCTGTGAGTTTGAAGCTAGCCTGGTCTACATAGTAAATTCCAGACCAACCAGAGCCATGTGGTGAAACCCTATCTCCAAAAACAAAGAAAGTCTAAAAAGTAGTACTGTAGACCTGCCATCATAATACCTGCCACATTTATAGCTGCATGAGCCATAATATTTAAGAAATTAAAAACAAGATTGTATGCCCATCAAGAAATGAATGGATAAAATAATGGAGTATATACACCTAGTAGAATTTTATGAAGGCATACAGAAAAGCTAAATCATAACATTTTCATGAAGATGTACAGAGCTGAAAACTATTGTTGGGGGGAGCCAGATTCAGAAAAATAAATATGCATGTTTTCTCTCATATTTAGATCATAGATTTTCATTTTATAGGGACATACACACACACACACGCATATATATATATATATATATATATATATATATATATCTATTTTTTCACAAAATGCACATAATATGGAACAAAGAAAGGGATCATAAAAACAAAACAGAAATAAATCTTAAGAGGGAAGTGTTATGGGGAGACCACTAACCACTGGAGAAGATAGTTTATAGTTAATTGAAAGTCTTTATTCCAGCTGGATGGGACTACACTCAGGTATGTGGGGCCCAAGTGTGTTGCCAAGTGTATAGAGCAAACACCTTTTAAAGGCAAAAACCACATTGTATTATTTTGCTTGGCAGTGCAGAGGAGGTTTTGTGCGAACAAGCAGTTTAATAGAAAGCTAAGACAAGCAGTTAGCTGGAGGGGGAGGTTTTGCACAAGCAGGCAGTTTGACAGAAGCCAAGATAAATTAGCTGGGGCATCTTGGCCTCAAGTACCTAGAATAGACTCAGGTATTTTCCATAGGATTTTCCATGAAGGAGATCAGATTCTAGTTAAACCTAAAATGGCCTTAGCAAGAACAGGAGATGGAGAAATCTCTGCACTCTTTCCCAGTCACAGAGGTAGAAAAGAGGGTAACAGAATACATGCAACATGAAGCAAACAAGGCTCTTGGAGGAAGGAAAGGAACACTGAGAGGAAGGCAAGGGATGGAGGAAAGGAGAGGAAGGGAGTTCAAGAACAAAGTATGTATGTAAATACCAGAATGAAACCCACTTCTGTGTGTACTGATGTGTATTTTTTTAAACTCATAGAAGAAAGCAGATCAGAATTCTGTCAGAATGAAAACAGGATTTTAAAGAGATCTTTCAGAAACAGCTCATCTTCTAAAGCTATAGGCTGCACAGGACCTTCAAAACAAGCCAATGGCCTCAAAGTAGATGGCTCCCTTTCCAGGCATTAAACCAAGGTCTCCATCTGCTTGTTTTAGCTATAAAATCTGCTCACATCCTGGCTTTTGGCCTCTTTTCTTTTTATTCTTGTATTTGTGTAAGCCAGGACATAGTTATTCTAATGCCATTCACTTCCCTCAGTCACAGTGCATGCTATATGGACCATCTGTCACTAGCCCCAATGATTAAAACACCCAAGCAATTTCAACCTCATTAAGCAAGACAAGAGGGGATCTCAACCACTGGTGCTCCCACTTGCAATTCCATGAACAAGTGATCATAAATGATTCAGCATAACCACTTCACTTATGTCCATTGCTCCATGAAAAGAGAAGATTATTATTTACAATATTGATTAGACCAAGGGTGTTTCTGAATTTGAATTCAACAACCTTAATAGAGTAATGGGTCAAATCCTTGCCACCTGGAAGTGACTAGTTGAGATCCAAAAA